TTTTTTAATCTGCAAGTACTTTCAACTGTACATTCAGTTATCCTCAGGCTGAATATATATATATATTCAGGTTGTAGTCTGTTGGTATAATTTAAGCAAGTTCTATTAACACAATATAGAATTTTAAATATTAAATATTAAATGTTAAAACTGACTCACAAAGAACGCTCAATGTTTATTTTCATTAAACAGAGCAAAATATTTCATACAATTGGAATGAACATTCCATTAATGAATGATCATTTTCACCCGCGAATTTTAAATTTAAAATTCACAGGATTTTTCAAACTATTTATAGTGTTAGTTTGTTGAAGACACTTCAACAAGAATTTTACTTCTTGCCCTTTCTTATGCCCATACAGAACCACGCAGTAACCCTCTACTTTGAGTGGCTCTTGGGTCACTGTTTTTAGGTGAACATTAGTAAAAAATGCCTCGTCGCATTCAAGCTAGTAATTAAAAGAAAGGATGTCATATAAAATACTGTCCGTTGGATTCTTTTACTTGAACTGCATCAGAGAACATCGTCATGTACAAATTTGGGAGTAAAATTGTGTTAATCTCGCCAAATTTTACCGTCCTGGGTAAAACGATAAACTACGTCCAACAGCAAGGCCTCTGAGCAGGAGGTTTTGAGGTGTGTGAAACCACCTCTTATTTGCTGATGTTCCCAGGGTAGTAGCACATGTCAGGGTCCCAGCTATGGGCAAATAGTTAACCCCCAAACCCGGATTAAAACACTATGAAAATGTAGAAATAGGTTTTAATACCAGAAATGCTTTGTAAAGAAAAATATTACCAGAAATACATTTTTTTGAAAAAAATATTAGTAGCGAAGGAAAATTCTTACCATAAATAGATTTTTGAAGGAAAATATTACCAGATATAGATTTTTGGAAAATAATATTACCAACAATGAAAATTTTGTTGGCATTAAATAACCCATTGAGGTTGATATACCGTAAAACAAAACAAACCAATCCTAAATTTTGTTACGTTATACTGTGTTGCTTTTAACTTTAAGGTAGTTAAATTATAGAATGGTCTTAAAATTTTGTTAATGACTGTACACTATTATTGTAATTTACTAAACGTACCCAATGTAAAATGTACATTATAATTAAATTTTGATTCATCTTCCTTTCATTTTTTTCTGTTGCTTTTTATCACAGCTCTTGAGTTGTTTTTAAAAAATGAAAGAAATAAAAGCGCATAATAATAATAATAATAATCAAAGCTAACCGCCTAGACATTGTTATTAGAGACCACAAACAAAACAAGTGCCTCCTTATTGATATGGCAGTCCCTGCAGACTGTAATATATCTCTGAAGATCTTCAAAAAGCTATCAAAATACAAGGACCATGAAATCGAAATCTAAAAAATGTGGCACATGGCAACATCAACAATCCCTGTTGTAGTTGGAGCCCTTGGGTGGTTGGAAAAGATTCCAGTGGACTAATTGAAGGAATTCCTGGAAGTCCATGCCTTAAAGAAATACAAAAAATTGTTCTCACGAGTACAGCCCATACCTTACGAAGGGCTTTATCTATGTAAAATATTTTTTTTGTGTCAGTGGAAAATGTCATGATGCCATTTCTAATGGAAAGAAATGTGTACACACCAGAAATCAAAGGAAAAAAAAAAAATAATAATAATAATAATAATAATAATAATAATAATAGTAACGCTTCTATGAAATTCGGACCACTTACAAATTATATTAGCCCTGAGATAAGTGAACAGATGTATCGATCTGTATGTAATATTCTATTTAGCTGTTGTACCCAAAGGTTTAAATTCAGCACCGACATTCAGAGAACTTAAAATGATTATTTGGTTACTTATTTTAGTGCATCATTTTACTTACAATTATGGTGACGTGGTGCAAACAATAGTCAGTGCATTATTTAAACAAATTAGCCGTAAATAATCAACAGTGACTTCTTATAGCCAACTGTCACTTGCCAGGCTCTTATTAATTGAAAATAACTTTAATAAAAACATTCCACTTTGTTCATATTCATTGGAGACTAAAATGGCAGCAAATTTTTCTCAGCTGAATTATTCAATATCGACTTCATCATCTTCAGGTAAACATTCGGCAATAAACGAAAGAAATTTGCACGTGGGCAGCAAAAAACATTTTAAGGAAAAAAAAAAATTAGATGGAAGTATTGCAGGATATCGTTTGTCGGACTGAAGAAGAAACGAGACTGGCCGAAGAAAGCAACGGTTGCTCTAATAGTCGAATAAATTTGGATAATAAATGTTATAATTTGCATTTGCTGATAATTAATTTAAATTTAATTTAAATTAATAATAAATTTGCATCATTTCAGGTTTTTGACATTCGCTTTAACACTTTCAACCCAATTTTATGAGGTTTTAAAAAAGACTCATTTGAGTAAGGCATTAATCAATTGATTATTTGAGAAATTATGAAATAAGTAACTCGGTAGTCGTTCTAAGTAGCACAGTAATCGTTTTAAGTAAAGCGGTCAATCGAAATAAGTGCTGCGTAATTTGTTGCGTTTAAATTTCTACATAAAACTTTTTTCGGGGAATATGCCTTTCAACGCGCTGCAGGTTATTTGGAATCTCTTTAATTTCTTGACTCGATTCCAAAACCTGGAAAGAGCAATAAGGAACACTGGCCAAATTACCCAGCGTTTTGGCTCTTACTTCAGCCAATATAATTAAACACAATACATTATATTCAAAAACGTGGCCCGGATGCAATTATACACCGTCCCAGTTGAACACAGTGTTGATTCATTCTATATTATTAATTTGTACCGTAATTATTTGTGTATAATATTCGTTTTCCTCTCTCCAGGTTTTTATGCTTAAATACTCGGAGTGCGTATTATACTCGAGAACTTGAGATTAAATTTGTTCCGGACACATGTATCGTCATATTCGAAACTGTAAGACCAAAAGTAATTTACATCTATATACTAAATCAATTCCTAGGTTTGCTGCTGGGAAAGTTGGTTCACTGTGCTAGACAGTTTTTTCTCTCCAGTATCCATCTTGCATGTCTATAAATCTAGCATTAGATCGTGCATTGAATGATAAAATTTAAATGCAATGCCAATCGTTATCTACTGTCTTCCGGATTACTCTTCTATTGTTCTCACTCCTTTCGATTGTTTCTATTTTCTAATTCTTTCGCACTAAGTAACCTCTTGTGTCTTAGTGGCTTTACTACCTTGCTTGGGGTGAATTTGATTTTTTTCCCCTCAATAGGAGTAGATAGGTTCGACTATCGTCCGGTTCACACTCCTCTCCTTTTTTTAACAAGAGTAGAGGTTTATACCTTATTTCTTTTTTAGGATTTGGTTTCATGTTCCTTCTAAATTTTTTCTCATTCTCTTTCACGAACAGGAACGCCTTGCGTTTTAATGGCATTATCGCCTTACTTGGGGTGAATTGATAACAAAAATATATAGGAACGCGAGAAGAAAGGACTGACTATGAATTGCAATAAAACAGAATATATGGTCGTTTGACAACGACATCGAAGATGACGATGGTACGGTTGGGAAAAAAAATTACGATTTAGTTATGGAGAGGCATGATTTCCCACATGCTGAAAGGGTACTTCAAATAAATGTCTATGTGTGAGCATTTACAACCATAATACTTGGTTATTAACTGATTTAAACTGTCGTCCCTAAGTACTGATGTCATTCTGTTAGACTGATATGCATGCGTACATTAAAAAAAAAAACACAACTTTTAAATTTTAGTCTGGTACAAGAGCAAATAGAAGGTGCACCGAGTAAGAATTAAAATTTTACACTGATAAAGGTTATAAAGTTTAGCTGAGTCTGACTCAAGGCCTCAATTATGGAGTACTACGTACTAACCGACAGAAACTGTTTTGATCTATGAAGCCGCTTTTTAGCCATTACTCCACAGTGAGATACACAAGGCCACAGGGGTTTAGAACTGTGTGAGAACAGAAATGATCCTTACTAGGCCTAGCTTAGTCCGGCATAAGGCCATGGGTTTAATCGACATTGAATTCATACTAGGAAGACTGGCAGAATATCCTTGATACCATCGAGGCAAAGCCACTAAAAATTGCTGCATCACGTACGCACTGTCATTCTTTTTTTAGGGAGAAGATGAAAATAACTGAAGCAGCATAAATGTGGTTCTACAGGAGAATGCTGAGGATACCACGAGCCGAACATGTGAGCAACAACTAAGTTTTATTGAAAATGGTAAAAAAAAGGAAACTTATACTTAACATCAGGAAGGGACATTTGAAATTTCTAAGGTACATAATGAGGAAAGGGGGCTTAGAAAATCTGATACTCACAAGACAGATTGAAGGCAAGAGGGACAGGGGATACGAACGGATGACCTACTTAGTGAGTAAATGGATGGCAGAACAAGGTTTAGGAGAGATAACAAAAAAATTATTAAGATGACGGGAAATTGTGGAGAGCCATGATCGCCAAAGTCTTGAAGAGACGGATTATAAAAAAAACAAAACAAAAATTAGGTGAAAAATCGAGCTTGAAGAAATAAGAGTTTCTTAAATTGGTGAGTAGGGAAAAGAGCTAAGAGCAAGCCTTAGATTTAGATATGATAAGCATTTAACAACAGTTCATAGCATATAGACGAAAGATTCAAGATATGTAGCAATTAGTGGCGAAATATGATACCTTCCTTTCGACATATGATACCTTCCTTTCGACATATGATACCTACCTTTCGACATATGATGCTGCTCAACAATTTGCGACAGGCTAATTAAATGTACAGCTGCTTTATTTCTAATGTCTTATTCTTTTTTTAATGTTATAATGATATTATATTCGTACAGGCATGTATTCAATATATCCGTAGAGATGTAATATCTTTATTGAAATGACGTTTCTGGAGAAAAATATGATATAATTAGATCCAAAACATTCGATTTTCACTTTCTTACATTGTTCAAAAGATATCACTTTTATTATTTTGTATTCATAATGGAATAAA